GTCGAGGTTTTTACTGAAACTCAGAGAATTCCTTGTCGAAGTTAGTCACTAGCCGGCACATGATTATTATCGTGTAGTTTGTTCATTTTATTTAAAACAATAAACTAATCAACGTTCTAATGAGAAGCCGTAACCTGTGTAATTCAACCGTGTCTGGTGTATGGCAGTTATCCACTGACAACAATGTATGATGTTCTCTCCATATCGTGAGTTAATTTAAGTTAGACATCAACCCTACCTATCTCCTTCTAAATTCATCTTACTGAATTATACTTCTCGAATCATATCTTCGCTCCCTAATCTTCTCCATTACTGCTAATACTTCTATTATTGCTATTACTCTTGGATTTGAACTGACAGTTGCGTGTCTGTGCTGATGGGGCATGGCAACCTGAACTGATGTACTTACTTACGAAGTTCTGCGTTGTATTTGACTCTAGACATCAACACAGTTAGATGCTGGCTCATAGATCAGGTTGTTAGGCGTTCTCATGCAAGACTGGACGTCCTAGGTGAGGTTCCTGCTCAGAAGGCCGTGAATACACACTGCCGATGAGTCACACATACTAGAATGAAACGGCTGTCCAATGCTTCTTCATTTCTCATAGTAATCTGACGTCTATCGACCCAAGACTCTAGTTAAATTAAGCAATCTCTACAATCCTGTAAGGATATTTAATCTTACTTACATGGAGATTTTGTGAAGATGTCTACTGTTCCAAAACGATCATTTCGTGTATCACAAACCCAATGACTAAAACCTACTAATATTTTTGACTTTACATTTAGTAATTCGCAGCATAATATTTAATCAGACTAACTGAAGTTAGGCAATAATGCACCTACAAGATTAATATTTTCAATAGAATTATCAAATCTAGGTCGCTGAATTTCGCTTCAACGGTACATATGCACTGGGCTTATTACAAGAAATATTTAAAGTGATGAGTAAATATAATACAAAGTAATTCCAAGTACAATAATAATGAACAGAAAAATCATTTTTAATTGATACATTACACAAGTAACATGTATTTGGACATGAATTTCGCAAACAAGAATGTGTACAAAGCTATTTTTTTCACATTAATAAAAGGTAATTTCTTCGTATAATATGAAAAACAAAAAGTATACAGGGTATATATTCATGTATTATTCATGAAAGTGTTTGATAATACTGGAAGTAATTAATTGTGTTTCATTTCATCATAAAATACAAAAGATTAGTAGTAGTAGTGTGTGTGCATGTGTCAATTTGTGTGACATTATGGTGTATTTGTTTAACTAGTTTCAATTTTCTTATTCACATGTATTGAACATGAGACCAATGTTTTAACAATTGGGTTGTTAGGAGTTAAGTATACAATTCAAATGTTCAAGATGTGAGTTTCATTGTGCTCAAAACTCATCAGCCGGTATCTTCTTAGTTATAATAATTAATGTTCACGTTGAAACTTGAATTCAGTATTTATAACCTTAAAGGTTAATGAGTTTTATCCACTAAGCCAATGTATTCCGGATAACTACCAATGTGTTCAACGATTATAACATCTTGTTTTTTTTATATTCATGACGGAAATTTTTATCATTTCTTGTTGGTATGTGTTTGTCTGATGTCAGTTTATTCTATATAACTGTCTCGTTATAAGATTTTTAGAATACCTGTGTCATCTTATGCACGTATACTAATAAACAGTTCTGACCTATTATGTTCGTCACTAAGTATGCTGGAGGCTATTACGAGTTTACCTTAGTCGATAAACGCGAACGAGACTTTTACCAGCGTCCAGGTAGGCTACCTTGAAACCCAAGCCGAAGTAAGAAGGCTTTGTAAGCGTTGAAAGTATATTCTACAAACACACAGCAATCACAGTACAATCAAGCATACATCATATAAACGTCCTTGGGACAGTTAGGGAAATAAATAGCACACTAAAATACACAGCAGCTAATCACATCTAAGGATTTTTCCTGGTGGGAATCGAAATCCCAAGGTCAACTG